GAGAATACAGTTGTAAACGGCATAAATATAATATTCTTATATTATTGCTGTTGTTGTTACATGCTGTTGATTTACTTGCAACTCATTGTGACCCTACGTACAACAGCACTGAACTCTTCTCTATCCTGAGCCAATCTCACTGTCTCTGACACACCTACCTCCATTGCCCCAATTACTGCGTAAATCTATCTCACCCGAGATCTTCCTCTCCTGTGCTGTCCCCTCCACTTTTCCAAGCATGATGTCCTTCTTCAAAGACTGATCCCTCCAGGTTATGTGCCCAAAGTATGAGATGGAGTTTCAAAATCTTTGCCTCCAAGGAACAGCTTGTTTCACCCTCTCAGACCCTCTCTTGACAGTCTATGGTATGTGTAATGCTCTTCTCCATTAATGTTAGCAAAACAATTTCATGAAATCTTTCTACATTAGTTACAATATCATTAAGTAACTGAGGCAAATGGTTTTTTTTTAAATTTTTCTCCTTTTACTTACTACTTCATTCTCCAAAAATGCTATTGATGTAAGTTTGTTGTCATTATGTGTCATCCAGTCAGAAATAGCTCATAGCTGACCCTCCAGTGAATTTTCAGAGGCAATTAATCACACAGGAAGAGATTGTCCATCCTTCTCCCATGGAGTAGCTGATGGATTAGAACCATGTGCCTTTTGGATTGCAGTGGAGCTTCTTACCACCAGACCAACAGAGCTCCTTGAAATAGCCTTACAAATACTAGTTATAATAATATATTAGCTAAGGGAGCTCTGGTGGCCTAGTGGTAAGAAGCTGCACTGCAATCCCAGAGGCACACTGTTCAAATCCACCAGATGCTCTGCTCGAGAAGTGGCAATCTTCTCCTGTACCAGTCAGATCTGATCTGACGGTACACACAAAATATAATAAAATAAAATTTTAAAAAAATATTAGCTAAAACACCAGAAAACTAGACAAAATCATTGACAACAAAAACACCAGTGACAATGAAAATAACAGTTTTTTCTCCTAGTACTTGAAACTGAAATCACATGATGTGAAACATCATAATGATTGGTTAACAATGAAGCCTGGTCCAGGGTGCATTTTCTCTTTTTCTCTCCCTGTCTCTATCTCTCTCTCTTATTGCTGTCCAGTTGGAAATCCAATTCCATGAGGTGTCTGAGGCAGTAAATGGCAATTTAGCTTTTTGGGAATGTTGACATTTCTTAGCTCAAATCCTTAGAACTAGAACAATGACAGGAAAGAACAGAACTAATATCTTAAAATATGTTTGATTATATTTCAATTCCACAGTTGTGGAGATTTCCATACTCAAAAAGAAAAGGCACAGTACCATGGTACAAAGATAAATCCTTTCTAAACTTGAAAGCAAAGCTCACTAGCATTCATGAACATACAAAACTTTCAAGATAACTTTCAACATGGAAATTAAGGAATGTAACAAGTTTTGCAAAGATAAATGTAGAAAAGAATTTTTCAGTGTGTAGAAATCAGTTTGGACCAAGTGTTGAAATAGCAAAATGAATGGGAATAATTTTCTAGACTGTAGACAACTGGTAACTTCTGGCCAAGTACCTGGGTTCTTTTGAAATATAACTTAAGAAGGACTTGATGCCATCATTCACTTGCAAATATTTCTATCACTCTAGATGTTGAGTCATTATGCAGAATCTATGTTGTGAAACTGAATGATAAATTGATGGCACAAAATGAATTCAAGAAAGCTGAATGGGAAAAAAATTGCAACTATGAAAAATGAGAAGGAAACCTAGACATCGGTATTAACTGTTTCAGCTTTGTTCTCACAGATTCCTAGTTACTTCATGTTATATCAAGTTTCACTTAAATATTATATGTTGGAGAATTAAGAGGAGGTCAGCAAAAGCAATGAACAAAACAGTATATAAGAATCAACTAAATAGTATATGTTGGAGAATTAAAAGGAAGTCAGCAAAAGCAATCAACAAAACAGTAGATAAGAATCAACTTTTAAATTTAATTTACTAATGTTTTCTATCTATGTTACAAAAGTAAGAAACAATTTCTATGGTCTCAGAAGTGTATTCTGAAATGGTATGATATGCAATGAGGCTCATAAATAGTTGTCTCTATGTATCTATTTTCTTGCAGTGGTTCATACTTTCCATGTTTAGGATACAAATGAATAAACTTTATTTTACTTCTACCTTTGTCTCTATTTCTGCTTAAGTTCAAAAATTTATATATGAACATTTACATACTTAAAAGATCACTTGAGTAAAATATTCTATTTAAATAAATGAACGCATTTATATAATCAAAACTATTGAAAGATCATTTCTGATACAACTATCAAAGGCTTTCATTTAGTCCACTTTACCAAAACTAAGAAATGATTGCAAAATTACTTGATAGCTTTTGTGAGTGGTATGATTTTAATTGCCAATACTTAAAAATAGAATTCCAAGACTAGCAATTTCACAAAGCTAAAATACTGTTTGAGTCAATATTGCATTTTAAGTAGGCAAGACAATTTCAGCAATGAGATGGGGAGTCCCTCATATCACTGCTTTGAATGCAGACTATACAAAAGACCATAATTAAACAATTTGGTTGTCATTAGTCATGCAGATTTTAGATTCAGAGCTTCTTATTTTGACAGTTCTAAACCTAGAATACTGGAAATGTGTTAAGTCAAAGTACGAGTTAAAGTGATAGTACTAAAATGCAAATTACTTCTTTGTGACAAAAGCAATTAGTTAGCTCAATTAGTTAGATAATAATGATTTCTCTTAAAAAGACACTAGTAAATTTGGCATTTTTTTTTACCCTAAATGGTCCTTCAATGTGTCTATCTGGATACAACTCAAAATGTACTTAGGATATGCCTATATTTAATAAACTCTACCCCTACATCTCTGCTGAACATCAAATCATAAAGCTTTGCTGTTGAATGAATGAGGCTTTCATCTTCTCCTGAAATAGTGTAACATGTAGATTCTTGAGATCAGCTGATAAAGTCAAAGTCAGATAACTTTGTCCTAAAATATAAAGTAAAACAAAATCCTTTTCCAAATATCTTAAAGAAAAATGCATAAATATACCACTGTCTACCTACATACTTTCAAGTAATTATAGAAAAACAGAACAAATACTAAGAAAGCAAAACATCCTATGCTACTAAAAGAAAGAAAATTTAACTTAGGTTCTAAATTATTCTGATGGTACAGGTGTGTCCACCCCCATTAGGTTAGTACACAAAACACAATGACTGATAAGATTTCATTTGCTTCTATGCTAATAATTTTGTGAATCTTTACTTGCTTTTGCAGAGAATTTGTTTTTCTGGGGAACCACCTTACTTAGAAGCTGTAATTTTTTTAAAATGAGCCATAATTTTTTAACTTTCCAATCAAACTTAAAACTCGATTGTTTTTATAATTTAAATAATTTTTTAAAGTTATTTTTGTTAAATTTTGCTTGCATTATTAACAAGGTAGCATACTTAATGCTATCTAATGCTTCAAGTACTAGAAAAAAGCACAGAAAATACTATTTCAATATATAAACAACACTAAGTGCATTCAAATGGAAGAAAACATAAGTGATTTTTCTTTCCTCTAGAGAAAGTTTGGAATATTGTTCTCATTTTAAAATGTAAATATCAAAATGGCAACATCAAATGTACTCAGATGCTGCATTTTTCTAAAAAGTATAAGCAACACATTAGAGAGATGAAACCTCTATTCCACACCACATAAGATGTTTACAGGTATTATTATCGAAAAGTCATTATGTTTTCCTTTTGAAACTAGAGCTGTGCCAGTGGATTGCGTTGGTTTTTAAATATTCCTATTTTACTATTCATATTTATATCACGTGTTAATTCTGATTTTTAAGTTATGGTATAATGAAAACAAAGCAACAAATATGGTGTACAATAACATTAAGTAGAAATCAGTAGCATACATGGAGTGGGGAACTTTCATGCTATTTGAATATCAAGGAACAAAATATTACAATGAAAGATTGATTAATATGCAAGTTATCTACAGGTTATGAAGAAAATTTGTTCCTAAACATACCTTTTTGTAAAATTTATAGATTAGTTGGAACAGGTGCATAGGGGTTTTATCTAGCCTTACTTCAATGCTAAAAAGGCTTGATGATTTTTTTTTTTAAAAGTTTGAAAGCTGAACATGCTGCAAGGGAAGGTGATTGATTGTGATGAAGAATTTGTTTCAAATAGGGGTTGGTTCAATCTTTTCAAAGTGCGGCAAATTTATACAACATTGAAAGGTACATGCTATAAGCCAAAAGTTCAGAACCAGAAGGCTGCCTATCCTAATATTACATGCTTGACACAAGCACAAGTCTTAACTCATCTTACAAAGGACTATTTATAACACAGGCTTTCTTGAAAAAAGGGAACTCTTTAAAATCAAGCTGTAACTCTCCAATAAGTTTGGTATGCTGTTAGTATTTTAAACACTTAAACATATTTTTCATTTAGAAATATTATTATTGAAGACAAAAATAAGTATGGTGAGGCACAATAATTTACTAGCACCTTAATCCTGGCCTTGTCTTTCAAATTCTCATCAGACACATAAATATACACAAGTAATATTCTACACCCATCCAGGCAATTATACTTCTGCAAGTGTCCTTGCAAGCAGCTTTTCTAGTTACTTTTTTGTCTCTCTAAACCCCACATTTTTATACTAAATAGACAATATATATAAGCAATGATCTAATGATCTAATGACATAGTGAAGTCTCTACTTGGAAGTTACTCTTTAAAAAATGTGCATGTGCAAAATAAATAAATAAATAAAATCCATACATCCCCCCAGACAAATTGTTAGCTTAGACTGACACGTTTTTATTTTCTAAAGAAGGGGGGGGGGGAAATCCTTCCAAAGGAAATACTAGTTCACAAAGGCAGCTAACACTGACAATTTGTTACTAGTCCAAGCTTTTGAGGGAAAATAAAAACACAGAATCAAGCAAAGAGCTTACTCACATTCCTTTCAGCCGCTGCCACATTTTTTCCGTCTGTTCTCCTATAAGATACTTGAAAGTGGTGTTTTCCAGTTCTTCCGCTTCTGTAGCAGTGGACCCCATGATGGTGCTCCTAGAGCAACAGAGTTAACAGTCAGTCCCAGCAGCGAGAATAAGCATCCATCAGTCCACCACAAACCTTATACAGTGATACAGTAGCATCTCTTAGCTACCAAAACATTGCAGATTCACAAAGCTGGGGGAAGCCTCTGTCAGAATTGCTACTCCCTTTGACAGGCACCTGCACCGCACGCCAAGCCACACCACCCCCAGCAAGCACAGAGCAGTGTAAACAGTCCCTCTGACCTCACAGCAACAATCAGCAGTAGTGAGCCTGTCACGGTACTACTGACCGGCTGAGCGCTGAGGCTCTCCCCTAAAGCAGCTCATTTATCCCTCCTTTGTGCACTGAAACACATCAGAATTTCTACCGTTTACGAGACGTGCTATGCAAAGGAGAAACGTGAATGACTTTAGAGCTCCACAAGAAGCTGAATTCCTCTCAAGCAGCGGAAGGAGGGCAGGATGTAATGAACAAACAGATGGTAGGAACCAGTATCAGCACCACCCTGAGAAAAAAGTGTCTGCCGGAATGCCAAGGTTTTTGTCTCTGAGCTAGAAACAGCATTTTAAAATATATCATGCTCCAACAAGAAATGCGACTGTAATTAATTACACAAAGAGAAAAGCACATGTAAAACAGTACAGAAGACAGACCACAGTGCTCCACAGGTTGTTAGTGAAGGAATATGTGCATCAACTGATGCTGTAATCATGCTTATTCACCTTCTCCTAGCAACTCCACACAGTAGGTAACTGCCAAATGAACCAGGAGAAACACGGCAGCTGCACACAGCCTGCTTCGTGGATTCTTTGGAATTAAAAAAATGAATAAGGTGAAACTAGTGTGAGCATGTATCTGTGTACATAAGAGTAGAGGGATGGTGTGTGAGAACATGAGAGAGAGAGAGAGAGAAAGGCTGTGAGTGTGTAAGAGAGAGAGGGGAATGGAATTCATGTTGAGTTGCTAAGGCATTTTAGAAGAAAAATAAGGGAAAGTGGACATAAAAGGAATCAGGACTGAGTCATCTGTCAAGCTCCAATACATGGTGAGCTTTCTTTGAAACAAGCACAGGACTTAAGCATGAACACTGTAAAAGGTATAGCTGTTGGCAGGCAGCTGAGGAAATAAGCCTTAAAAGCAAGATTTCTTGCTGTTTGGAAAATCTAGATCTAGTTGTATCCACCTTAAAAAAAGAAAGGGGAAAAAAAGTTGCCTGTTGCCTAGAGAGGTTTAAGGGAGAGATATCTATGGTTGGTTAGATAGATAACATCTAATACTTATCCAGAGTTTGGTGTGTGCTATGCACTGTTCTCAGCACTGTTGTCATTGTGTGTGTATTAAAACATGTATTTAGAGAAGGAGCAAATGAAAAACAATGAAAGTAGAAATAAGGAAATAAGGATCATAGCAGAATTCTATACAACAGAAAATTTATTGTTAGGTGCTATCAAGTCACTTCTGATTAAAATGCACAGCTCCAGAATCCACACTCTTGGCACCAACAGTCAAGAAGTCAAAAGATGAATTACATTGTAGAAGTCTGCTGTCAGGGACCTTTCCAAAGTGGTAAAGAGCAATGATGTCAGTCTAGAGACTAAGGTGTGCTTGATCCAGGCCACGGTCTTTGCAATTACTTGCCATACATTAGAGAACTGGACAATAACTAAGGATGACAGCAGAAGAATCAATGAATATCAGTTGTGGTCCTGGAGAAAAGTATTGCACATACCATGGACCCCCCAGGAGAATAAATAGGTCTCTGAGAGCATGAAACCAAGTTTCTCCTCGGAGACAAGGATTTTGAAGCTCGATCTCACATACTTTGGACACATGGCCAGGAGGGACTGGTCCTTAGAGAAGAATATCATGCTTGGAAGGGTGGAGGGACAGCACAGGAGAGGAAAACCCCAGATGAGATGGACTGACATGGTAACTGGGGTAATGGAGGTAGGTGTGTCAGTGAGACTGGCTCAGGACAGGATAGGGTTTAGAGCCATTGTTCATAGAGTTGTTAAGAGTCACAGGCGACTCAATGGCACATAATAACAGTAACAATATAGGGCACAGAAAGCTGCTCTGTAGGACTGTATAGGCTGTAATCTTTATGGGAACAGACGGACTTGTCTTTTCTCCTGTGGAGCCACTAATATGGTCCAAACCTCTGACCTTTCAGTTAGAAGCTGAGCATTTAATTCTTTTTTTAACTGTCAGAATTAACAATAAGGATGCTGAATATAATAAAAATACATCTTTGATAAAGTCAATAAAATTACTATACCTCTAATCAGGGGCAGAGGGAAAGATCAGTTCTAAATTATGAATGTCAGGAATAGAGAAAAGTGGCATCACCACAAAATCTGCATACTAAAAAAATAATGAGAAGATATATTATAAACAATCATATGCCAATACGTGACAACTTCAATAACATTAAATCTCGTTGCTTAAATAAAACATATATATTCTCTGGAAGATACAAAGATAATTAATTACATAATCTACAAGGTCATATCTAGAAAAGAAATTAAAGCTGCAGACCTTGATAGCGTCACTGATAAACTCTTAACGAAATACTTAAGGAATACAGTACAAACACAGAAAATTTACAACTTATTTTTTGATGCAAGCATTATTATGATACCAAAATTTACAACTTATTTTATGATGCCGACATCACTATGATACCAATAAGGACGGATAGGAGAAAAAGAAGGAAATAAAACTACAGGGGGCAAAATACACCAAGAAAATAAGTATTAAACCTCTAAATACAATTTTAGCGAACTGACTCCAATCATATATGAAAGAATACTGTACCACGACTAAGTAGGCAGCATTTATCCTATGTAGGTAAGACTGGTTTAACAAAAAATCAAATATTGCACTTCATAATATTGCCAATGTAAACACGAAAACCACAATATATGGATGGCTCAATATTTAGGACAGCAAAGAGATACCTAACTAAGCAATAACCTAAGATCAGAGAAAGACACAAAATTCAAACAGAAGCCATGACCTACTCAAGAATCAACATCTCATAATGAGTCTTGTCCCTACCTCCCAAACCCCTTGCATCCAATTCCATCATGAAGCTGCATGTGCACAGAAGCATAAAAAAAGTTTCAGACATCCCACTGAAGCTGAGAAAATGTTGCAATTCCCTTTACTCCTGAAAGCAGCACTCCCTGTGTGAAACAGCCCTAAAAAGTCTCTGAGCTTTTGTGGTTCAGAGGGAAATGCTTGCATCTCCCCAGGTCCTGCATGTTTTCCTCCTTCAGGATGTTTCCTAATAAATATACACTTTTCTTTTTCTCTAACAACAACAACAAAAACACTAAAAATTATCTTAAAATCAATGTTTAGGGACTAGTCCAAGGTTGGTGGAAGTGTCTTTCAGTCAGTCACGACTCACAGCAACCCTATATGTGAGAAAAGGAAACCCTGCCTCATCTTGCTCCATCTGTACCATCACTGTTACTTTTCAGTCTGCTGTGTCAGCTACTCTATAAGCCCATCTCATTGAAGTTCTTCTCTGTTTTCACTGATTCTTTCTATTACCAAGTATTATGTCTTTCTTAAGGGACTGGTCTCCCCTACAAACATGTGCAAAGTATGTCTGTCTTTACTGATAAGGAATATTTTTATTGTACTTCTTCTAAGACACATTTTTTGTTGTTGTTCTCTAGCAGACCGTGGAATATTGAATATTCATCACCAATGCTCTAATTCAAATGCAATTATTCTTCTGTCTTCCCCATTCATTGTTCAGATTTCAAAAGCATCCAAGGTGATTGAAAATACTATTGTTCAAATCAGGTGCATCTTAATCCTCAAAGTAATATACTTCAGTCAAGTGTATTTTTCCTTTTTTATTTCCAACACCAGGTCTTTGCACATTTTCTTTGAATATTTTGTCTTTTCAAGCTGCCCTTTGAAATCACATGCTCAGTTCTCTGACATCATTTCTTCCTTTCACTTTAGTTTCTATACATTCAGATATCCAATTGTTCATGTATAATGTTCTTAATGTCATACCATGACTCATCTGGTCTTCAGTTATGAGTGTTCGAGATATCAAATTTTTTCTGTATATAGTCTCTAAATGCAAATGTAGCACATTAAATGTCACATGATGACTCTCATAGGCTTGTTTTATTTTTTTTTATTTTCAAACAATTGGTGATCTGTTCCATAGTCAACCTCTAACTTTGGTATGCCTGATGATATTAAGCTTCTTTATTGTCTCATTTCATAGATAGAGTTGAGTTCTGTGTGTTTCAATCCAACACTGTCCACATATATAGTCACTATTTCTGTGACAAACGTATTTATAATGCAACACACACACACACAAAAATACAACTTACACATGCTTTAGTTGCATTACAGTAGAGAAATCTTACATTTAAGCAGATATCATAACCTTACCTGCTGAAATTGAAGAGAACCTGAAACCCCTGTTGCAGAAGATCAGAAACTATAGCCTTCAGCATGGCTTATATCTTGACATAAAGAAAACAAAGGTCCTCACTACAGGACCAATAGTCAATGTTTTTGATGGACAGAAAGGATTGACCTTGTTAATGATTTCATCTTACTTGGATCCACAATCAACACCCTTGATACCAGTAGTCAAGAAATCAGGAGATTTACTGCTTTGGGAAAGTCAACTGTCAGGCACCTCTCCATAATACTGAAGAGCAATGATGTCAGTTTGACTCATAATCGCCCACCATCAATATCCCTATGGGAAGAGATTTTCCACCTTTCTTCCTCAGATGAGTTGGTCAGTTCAAACTGCTAACTTGTGACAGTGAATTAATTAACGAAATTGTTAACATATATAAAATATGAATGTCTTAAACTTTAGTGCAAGTGATAGTATAACTGTTCCATGTTGTAAAATTAGAGTTATGATGGAGGGACATTAATGACCATTTATCTTCTCAGTTCATGTTGCAGAGAATGATATATATTATTTAAAGATAATAAATGAAGATTTTAAGAAGTGAAATATGTTATAATTATTCTCAAGTGTTGTTGTTGTTATGTTCCATAGAGTCACCCATGACTCATAGCAACCCTATGTACAATAGCTCTAAACCCTGCCATATCCTGTGCCAGTTTCATTGACTCCAACAAACCTGCCCCCATTACTCGAGTTACTGTATCAATCCGTCTTGTCTGGGTCTTCCTCTCCTTTGTTATCCCTCCACTCTTCCAAGTATGATGTCCTTCTCTGAGAACCAGTCCCTCCTGGCAACATGCCCAAAGTATGTGAAATAGAGCTTAAAAATCCTTGCCTCCAAGGAGAAACTTGGCTTCACCCTATCTAGTAATTCTTTCTCTTGGCGGTTCATGGTATTTTCAAGACTTTTCTCCAGCCCTACAACTCAAAGGCATCAATTTATCTTCTGTAATCCTTAGTCATTGTCCAGCTCTCTGATGAATAGCAAATAATTTTG